ATCCTATAACTATTTATTTTAAAAGTATTTATTAAATATTCTNCATTTGTAATCTAAATTTGACCCCTCAACGTTATTGGATAAAAAAATATGTTGCCCAAGTCCTTTTCATTTACAGCTCATAAACCCCATACCACCGACAAAAAGAAAAACAAACAAAAGTGAATGCTGCAAAGTACAAACCATGATGGTTGAAAAATGAGCAGAGGAAATAAACAACAATGGAGTTGTCCATGGTACCCCCAAAAAAAATAAAAATTCTGTACTATATTTTAATTTATCACTGTTGTAATTGTTTTAATTAATGTTATAGTATCAAAAAAAATAATAAAAGTAGCTAGTACAACAGTGGTAAAAACATTAATAATAGTGATAAAAATATCCCACAAAAATAATAAATCACCTACTAAAATGATAAATTTTTTTGTTGTAAAATGGTCTACAGATATTATAAAAAAACCCATCAAAGTAATAAATTTTGGAGTTATAGTACAAAATTATTTTTATCAATGCCGAGTCAAGTTCAAGAACAATATAAATTATTCGGTATAGAAACTTGGACAATTACGTAAAGTTACATAAGAATAAATATCTAGCCATCATATTCTGAGTCAAAAAGTTTAAGAATGGATTAATATCTATATGGACAAAACTATACGTATCAAAAGTGTGCATCAAATTATTTGTAATTGTTGGATCAATTGTGAGACTTTTTGATCCAATACTTACAGATGATTTGGTGCACACTTTTGGTGTGATAACGTTACTCTATTTATATACCTATAATAATTTGTGTCTAATGGTACTATAATATTTATTTTGTAAATAATAATTTATTTTTTTAATTACGTAACTTAAACTTAAAATAAAAAATAAAAAATAAAGAGATATGTTTGAATTAGTGAGATTATTTGACATTAAAAAGTGTGTTGATTATGTTATTTGACATTGAGAGTTATAAAAAAAAGATAATATTTTTAAGAGAATTTTTTTTTAATGAATTTTATATCATTGGATCAAAATAAATGAGGATTGAATTAATTTAATTTTGACTGTTATTCTGCTTTTAAATGTTAAGAATGCAACTTCATACCTATAATATTAAACAATAAAAATTGAGGTGTTACCATAATTTTGTCTATAATAAGCTTGTTAATCGGTATTGATTATTTATAAAATAAATTAAACACTAATACAATTTAGGATTAGTTTAATTTATGGACTAATCTNAATCAGTATTGATTATTTATAAAATAAATTAAACACTAATACAATTTAGGATTAGTTTAATTAATGGACTAATCTATTATTATTAGGAAAAAATTTCAGTAACACCATTTCTAATTTATCATATCTTCAAGAACACCCCCTCTATTATCAAAAATATCACACCCCTTTTTAGTTTATACTAGCAATGCAATACGTACTTTGCATGTGAATAATTTTTGTATACACAATATTAATAAAAAGTATTAGGTATATGTGTAATTATATTAAATATCATATCAAATTTATCAAAATTCATATTTTTATCCCTCGTATTATACTATAAAATTCAAAAAATATTTTCTGTTCCCAACAATTTGTTGTTCTAATAACAAGAAAAAAAAGATAAAAATAATTCATTTGGAATTCATTTGATTAGGTATCAACTTGAATAAAATAACAATAATTGTCAATAAGGATAAAAATATAGGGTTAATAACCCTTCAAGTCTCTAAAATATGCAAATTTTTTTTTGTCAATTTCATCATTAATTATATGAATTTTATCAATTTGATTCACAAAATATTCAATTCTTTTTTAAATGGTCTCTAACCATACGATCTATTAAGTTTTTTTATGAAAGTGACCTCATGTCATTTCATCATTTAGTATCACGTGATCACTTATGTTAAAAATTTAACAAATTATCTATGTAAAGATCATTTAAACCGTTAAATTAAGAGACTAAATTAACAAAATTGATACAATGAAGACCAAACTGATTAAACATGAATATTTCAGAGATTAAAAATGCTATTAACCCTAAAATATAATTCACTATTTTATAATATATATTTTAAAAGAATATTAAAATTTTAAAATTCAAGTTTTATTTAAAAATACACTACAATTTTTTTATACAAACCCTTAATAAAACATGAAAAGTGTACTTTGATTAAAAAATTATGTTGATTTGACATAAATTATTTTTTAAAAAAACTACATAAAATATTATTTTTATCTTAAAAATGAAATGGTTAAAATTTTATACATATATATTAGATTGATGAAAGCACGATTAATGGATTAAAAGCACGATTAATCCAAATGGTCTAGCACTCCTGTCAATAATCAAGCACGATTAATCCATTAGATTGATGATAGCACGATTTATACAAACTCTTATCTATCATCCATTTGTCAGACTCAAATGTCAAATCTCATCACTTATGTTTATCATATATTTAATCATTTATATATTTATTCCTTAAAAATATCACATCATTTATTTTTATCATATATTTAATCATTTGATATTTGATTAATTTGTAGTTTATATATTTTTAAAAAAATTAATATAATGAGATCAATTTTTTGAACTCTCAAATTTTATATTTAATCGTGTTTTTTTAAGTAAGAGTTATGACTAGTATATAAATATATATTAGATTGATGAGTAATGTTAGATTGATGAAAGTTTTATAGATTTTTTTAACACTTTATTGAAAACTATAGTAATGCACATATTTTTTAAGAGTAACGTAGTCAATTAAAAAATTTCATAAACACTAATATTTATGCATAATGAATAAAGAATTAAAAGAGATATTATAGGTAATTTGGAGATTTAAACACATAAATATATGATGGTAATTTAGATATTTAACTACGAAAAGATAGTGTGGTATTTAAAATTATTTATAAGAGTAAAATAGTGAATCATAAATTTTTCATTCTTAGATATTTTTATTAGTAGTATAGATAGAAAAAAAAAATACATATATAGATATAATGTTATTTTTTTATTTAAAAAAATAATGATCTATTAATAGATTTTTTGAATACGTTATTGAACACTATAATGATGCATATATTTTTTAAGGGTTGCGTAGTGAATTAAAATTTTTCATAGATATTGATATATATACAAAGATAATAGAGAATTAAAAGAAATGTTAAAGAATAATTTAAAGATTTAAATACATAAGGTTGTGATTGTGATTTAGATATGTAACTATGAAAAGATAATGTGGTATTTAAAATTCTTTATAAGGGTAAAATAGTGAATTAAATTTTGTTTAGTTTAGGTATTCTTATTAGTAGTATAAATTTAAACATCATTGACACCCCTTGCCATTAAACTACCATTTATAACAAAAATAAATTTAAAATATCAAAATTGTCTCTATATAAACCCTAAAGAATCTTTCTGCATATAATTCGAGCAGATTAAAATTTATTTTTTTAAATATTAAAGTTCGAGCAAATTAAAATTCTTTTTTTCTACATATTAAAAATTTGAGTCGATTAAAATTCAATTTGAATTAATTAAATTTTTTTTACGTATTAAAATTCAAGCCTATTAGAAGTCTTTTTTTTACGTATTAAAAATCGAGCCGATTTGATCTTTACTTAAATTGTTAGATTCGATTAAAATTCTCTTCAAGTTGATTAAAATTTATATTTTTTATTTATTAAAATTTAATTCAAGTTGATTAAATTTTATTTTTTATGTATTAAAATTTGAGTCGATTAAACTTTATATTTTTTACACATCAAAATTTGGGTTAATTAAAATTTAATGCGAGTTGATTAAAATTTAATTTGAACATCATATATAATTTTAATCGGCTAAAATTTTAATAAGTAAAAAAATATAATTTGTAACCTACTCAAATTTTAATACATAAAAAATAAATTTGAATTAGTTAGAATCGAATTTTAATTGACCCAAATTTTAATATGTAAAAAAATTTAGAAAATATAGGAGGTCTCATTGAAGATATGTTTATCTAAAGGGAATGTGGATGGAATTTTTCCTAAAATATATCATGAGTAATTTAATAAAATTACATTATAATTAACACATTTAATCTGACAAGGGGTGTCAGTGAAAATTCAAAAAATAGAGTGTCTTTAAAGATATAATAAATTAGAAGGTGTGTGACTGAAATTTTTCCTTATTATTATTATTGGTGGTTGATAATAATTCTCAATTAATATTACATACAATTGTTACTTTAGCAGAAATAATAATTTATAATANGTGTGACTGAAATTTTTCCTTATTATTATTATTGGTGGTTGATAATAATTCTCAATTAATATTACATACAATTGTTACTTTAGCAGATATAATAATTTATAATATAATTAATAAAGTTGAAGATCAAATTTTGTTTTGAAATGAATGAAATATTTTTATTTTTAAGGAAACCAAAATTAATCAATAATTGAATTGAAGTTTTATTACTTAGAGATGTTTTGAAATATTTTGAGATATTTTTGACATGTTTATGCTAATTTTTTTGAAAAATTTCTATTTATGTATGTTTTGAAATATTTTAAAAATAAATTATTATATTTTATATCTATTTTAAAAATATTTTTCTTTTTTAAGTGACCTAAACGATGCACTTATGCACTCAAATAAAATTTTGACACCTATTTAATGTATTAAATCCAAATTGCAGTAATGAATTGATTTGAACAAAAAAAAAAGTAATGAATTGATTAATTGCGAAGAAGCTTCACAGTGGAAGAGACGGACAGGGCTGGAATTCCTTTATTGATGTGAAAACCCCAATATACCCCTGTAGACTAGAGAGTCCTGTAGTATATCATGCACAAATGCATTGTCGACGTGTTATTTATATCACAAAATTGAGACAGTTGGTTAAAGGTGGCCGCTCTGTTTTTATTACCCATTGAATCTCTGACTCCTGAATTAGAGAGAGAGAGAGAGAGAGAGAGACGAGAGAAGAAGGAGAAGAATAGGCAGGAAGGGAGGGAGAGAGAGAGAGAGAGAGAGAAGGAAGGACGAGGCATCGATCTATGCAACCGACGCAGAAGCCATCGGTAGCATTGGGTCCATTGATTGGGAAAGACGGATTGATCTTAATTATACGAAGCGCAGATTATGAGCTGGTTTGATAAGCTTCGGTGTTCTTCTAATCTCAGCCGCTTCATTGCCGGCCTTCTCATCTTCATGCTCTATCATTCCTTTCAATTAATTTCCAATTTCTTGATTCCTATACACCCGTAAAAGTAGCAGAATTAAGTCTTGTTCTTTCAATAAAAACACGAAGAAAACCTGCTGAATTTGTCCAAACTCGTTGATTCGTTTCATGATGGAGTTCAAAGATTCAATTTCTAGCAATTTTCTCGACGGTTAGCATATTTTACCTACCATGTTGAGCAATTAGTTAGTAAGCATTGTTGATTGATTCTATGTGTAGCTATTATTCATTGATTGATTCGTTAGTCTGTGAATGGTTTTGCGTGCGTGACATGATTCTATTGCTTAAATATTGTTTCCGAATCCGTAATTTGTTTTAATTGTTGAATCGATTGATTCCAATTAGCGTGCATTATTATGCTCATAATGTCTGTACAGGTACATTGATGGTAGAAGATACGCTGGTCTACGGTTTTAGAATCATACATGATGAAAAGTGGAATAATTATTTATTCCGGTTAAAAACCGGAATATTAAAATATGTTCACTTCAAGGTGAATTGGGAACAATGTTTGATAAGAGCCCAACTCAAACCATCTTGTAGGTAAAGAGGGTCGCTAGGTCATATACAACTAGAATCTGGTATAAGCTCGAACAATGTAGTAAGCTATCAGGAACAAACGCGAGATTGGACTTCTCGTCTGGAATGTGAAATCCATCAATTTTCTTTTTGTGTTCTTGATAAGAATATGCCTTTCCATGGCTTGTGGATTAGCCAAGGGCTTCATTTCTTTGTTGTTACAGTCCTCAAATAAGTGTAATATATTATCCTGTAATTTACCACACTACCAAATTGATATAGAACAGGGCCTTAAAGTAGGAAGTTACAATACGAAGAGAGCTAGCAAGTTAAAGATGTGCTGCCCTTTTCCTTCTTATTTCTTTTGTTGAAAAGTTAAATCTGTGGACCAGACTACCCCTTGTGGGTGTAGACTGCTTTCAATCAGAGAATGAGACACACTTGGTTGTGTATCACACACAACTGGTGCTGTTGCTTTAGCATCTGTTTTTCCTTCATAATTCTATTCTGAAAACATCATATTGTGGTGATTTTATATGCTCTACAAAATTCTGGTGACAGTTGTGGTTTTAGTGGAAGTTATATGCCTTATGAGTACTTGCATGCAAATTGTTTGTCTCTCTTCACTTACAATAATCGTCTCATTTTGGAAAAGAATAAATTTTGAAACATATTTTTCAACTTATACATGTTGTGAAGATTGAAATGTTTTGTGATTTGTCATCTTCACCTCAATCAATTTCGAGTTTGTCGGGATGTGTTTTTTTTGGTTTGTCAACGTATGTGACTTCTGACAAAAAAAAAAAACTGTATGTGACTTGACGTTGCTCTTTTGTTTCTTATGGTCAATTTTTTCCCCGTCGGGATTTATTGCCTTTGTTTATCTGTACTTTTTTTTTTGCTAATTGCTAGGAAATTTTCCCTCACGTATTGAGAGGCAACACAGTTCACTCCCTTCGGTCATTGTGATTGGAGGGGGTATTTCGGGGATCGCTGCTGCACATATTCTCCAGAATGCATCTTTTAAGGTGGTCCTACTATCTACATCAAATACTTTCAGACTCCCTGATTTTGATGAGGGCTGGGCTATTTTGTGCAGGTGATCTTGTTGGAGTCACGAGATAGAATTGGTGGCCGTATCCATACTGACTACTCATTTGGGTGCCCAGTAGATATGGGAGCATCATGGCAAGTTCTTCTTCTTAGTTTTGGTCTGTGAGTGCTGGCCAGTATACGTTTTGTTCTATAAATGAATTATATTTTTTATGCCTTGAGCTTTTGGTATCATGTAAGTTTTGACAAATGTTTGTTTTACTTACTCGTGGTTTACTTTCTGAAACCTTTTGTAAGCATGTGTGACTGAATGAAGAATGATGGTTGTCTTGATGATTTCTAGCTGCCCGATTGACAAGTTCGTCCTCACTATTGTGTTGGAACAAACCAAACTTCCATGTCAAAATTTATTCCCGAGTATGCATATGTATATTTGTATATTTGATAAGTGAAGTTTCCTCCAATATGGAACATCAGCTCATACCACACAAAGTTATTGGGCAGAATCCTTAACCATGATAGTATTTTTAACTACAGTACTTGAAAAGGGTTGCCATCCATTCAGTGGGTTAGTGTCCCCAACTGTGTGGCACATGTCCCAGCCCTCCCCTTTTCCCTCTCGTGGCAGGACCTGCTTATCCATGCTAGAATTTAATACAGAATATACTAGAGCAACTTGTTTTCAATAAACAGGATTTTAGTTGCCTATGAGTTGGCCCATTTAAATTTTGTACGAGGACTTTTGCTAATTTGCAATGTAAATGCCCATGCCAAATAAGTCAGATTTTCTGAATCTAACCAGCTTTATTCATTGCATTAGACTTTCGAGTTTGTTGCAACTTGTTATGGCCTTAAATAAGTTAAAGATAACTACCAAATAATATTGTACTTCGTACATAACCGTGGTGGGTGGCTTTGTTGTTATGGCAGCAAATATGAGGCATACAATATTGAAATATATGGGGTGTTCATTTTCTTGTGGACATTTTCAGGCTACATGGTGTTTGCAATGAGAATCCTTTGGCTCCCCTGATACGTCGGTTGGGCCTTTCGTTATACCGCACGAGTGGTGATAATTCAGTGCTATATGACCACGATTTGGAAAGGTAATTACTGAATAATACTTAACTTGCAATTGTTCCTCATAGTGCAGTCGAGATTTGATGCATTAAGTGGGAAGTTACACTGGTATAGATGTATTTCGTTTAAATATTCTTAAGTCCTGCAATTCCAGCTTTCACTTTGACCAGGAGATTTACACTGCAAGTTGTAATGGCAATGCCTTCTGCAACCTTTCAAAGCCTACGACTCTCATGAACCTATTCAATTTTCTGATGCACATATCCTTTTTCTCTTTTGGGCTGTGTCGTTGAGCACTTCCCTATCCTGGAAACAATGTGCATGCTTAAATAACAGCAGTAGATCTAGGCTAAAATCTAAAATCCAAGCAGAAATTGAAAAATAGTAGCGTTTCGGAAATAAAGGATGGAATCGGGTTAGTTTGTGTGGAAAACTTTGGCTCTGTCCTTTGTGAGGTAGTACAACTATTCAAAGCCCCGAGTCAGTTCCTGCAAGGGTCAGCTGTTTTGTGTAGCTTACGATCCAATGATTTCCCCGCATGACAATAGTTAAGGATTTGGATTTAATTTTTTTACAGCTGCGCACTTTTCGGTATGGATGGCCATCAAGTTCCTCAAAAGACGGTTATAGAAGTTGGAGATGTATTTAAGACGATTCTAAAGGAGGTAGACTTTTTACGGTCAGAATATTTGGGTCAAATTTTTCTGCAATTTGTGAGCTTTATTCATTGGCGATTGGCAATTACTGATCACTGTATTGTCTACTCCAGACAGAGAAAGTAAGGGATGAACATAAGGATGATATGTCTGTTCTGCAAGCAATATCGATTGTGCTGGAGAGACATCCTGAATTAAGGTATAGAGAACAAAAGAATTTGTGACATAATTGGTATATTGATGCTTTGAGCAGGCGAGCCATTATTCACCATCATAATTTGTGTGTTCTGTAGACAAGAAGGACTTGCTCATGAAGTATTGCAATGGTACATATGTAGAATGGAAGCTTGGTTTGCTGCAGATGCAGATATGATATCTCTGAGTACCTGGGATCAGGCAAGTTAAAACATAATTCTCTCTTCTTTTAAAAGACACTTAAGGCTCAGTGATGCTGTGGTTCAAGTCGTGTGAATGAGCACCACACCCCTTCATGTTTTGTGCTGTAACAGTTTGACATCTAAAACTTGAAAGGTACACATTACAATCTTTTTCAAAAAATACAAATTTGAATTTTTTATAAGCAAAATTGCTTATAGGATCAAACTTAAGTATTGAAATTTTGTGCACATGAGTCTATCCTATTGACACAACCCAACTCAATAAAAGAAACACACACACACACACATGAACATCTATAATGTTTCTTTATCATTTAATGTGTTTTTATTTGGGAGGAAAGTCGTTGTTTGTATGTTAGTTTTCTGAGTTTGTTCGGATTCCTGAGGTGGACTAGGTTATGACTTATGATGGAGTGAATATGATTTGTATAAGTTCAGAATGAGAATCTCTTTGATATAACAAGTACTTACATAATATAGGGTACTTAATGTGCAGGAGCAAGTTCTTTCTGGAGGTCATGGACTTATGGTGCAAGGTTATTATCCTATAATTAATGCTCTGGCAAAAGATATTGATATACGCCTGAATCACCGGTATGGTTGCATACTCCCTGAATGAGAGAATTACTTTCATGTTCCTTCATTTTAAAAACAGATACGCCAAAGCATGAAGTCTTATATGAAAACCATGAAATCCCCTGAATCATGTAAGCAACAAATACTTTATGATATTGTCTTTTCTAAAGGATTATGATTAAAGTAGTGGGAAAAATAGCACAAACGCACTATTAGTAAGTTAAAAGTACTTAATAGAAAGACCCGTAAACCTTTCGATTCTTTAGCGTGTGATTATTACAAGATTGACAAGCAGCATGCGAAGTTAATGGTAAATGGTGTGCTCTCCTTTAAAACATCCCATGTACCTGATTTCTCGCTCTGACAAGCAATGGCAAAATGTTGTCGGTTCTTTTATTCATCAACCTAAATTGCATACACATCTCCTTCTGTCTCCTTTTTGGAAAATTCTTTCCCTTCCCTATTTTAAATGCTAGTTATGGTTATCAATGGGCATGGTCCTTTTTATGAGCAAAGTATTTTCTTTGAGTTTTTGGATCACTTTACTGTCATTATCTAAGTTTGGACATCTATTGTTTGACAGTTGCTTGGTCAGCAAGTTAAAGTTTAATTTCTTTTGTTCCTATTGGTGAACAGGGTTGCAAAAATATCCAATAGGTCTAATAAGGTGACGGTTACAGTTGATGATGGGAGGAGCTTTGTTGCCGATGCTGCCATTATAACAGTTCCCCTTGGTGTTCTCAAAGCCAACTTAATTGAGTTTGAGCCAAAATTGCCGGAGTGGAAGGTCACCGCAATATCTGATCTTGGTGTGGGCAATGAGAATAAGATTGCTTTACGATTTGATAATATCTTCTGGCCGAATGTGGAATTAATGGGTATTGTTGCGCCAACTTCTTATTCATGTGGCTATTTTCTTAATCTCCACAAAGCAACAGGACATCCTGTCCTTGTCTACATGGCTGCTGGTAGGTTTGCTTATGATCTTGAGAAGCTATCTGATGAGTCTGCTGCAAATTTCGCAATGCTGCAGCTCAAAAAAATGTTTCCTGACGCAACTGAGCCAGTAAGTGTATTGGTTTACGACATTTCTCAAATCTCTGATTTTCATTTTGTATAATTTGTTCCTTAAAACTGTTTGATTCAAGTTATATGGTTTTGCTATAGAAGAAGGGATGGCAAAAAATCTTAGATGCATAAAGGCTCATTTCTGGTGGATTTATTCTCAGTGGGGCATTGAATAAATAGAAAGGAATCTTTAGCTAATTTAGTATCTGTGGTGGATGGCTTTACTATTTCTTTCCACTTCAAATGCCATCTTGTGTTCTGCTGCTTTGGTGAAACTTTCCTGGTTGATTGCTTTTCTGCGCTATGATGATTTCTTGAACTGCAAGACTCAATTTTGTTTTCCCTTTTAAATCAGGACAAAATTGGAATACATTTAATAGTTAACAGTAGTAGACTCCCGCATAATTGCTCTTAAGTACTAAGTTGCATCATATTTTTTTACATTTTTCTCTTTCTTCTGAAGTTTGCAAGTTGCCTAAAATAGTTCCATCTTCTTCTACTACTATAACTGCCACTCTTGCTGCTATTACTAGTTTTCCAAAAAAAGAAGCAACCAAGTTTTGTAATGCAGAAGTGGTAACTTGTGCCTGGTTGGTCCCTTCATCCAGGTTCAGTATCTTGTATCGCGTTGGGGAACAGACCCAGATTCGCTGGGATGTTACTCATACGATTTAGTTGGAAAGCCAAGTGATGTGTATGATCAACTTCGAGCACCACTGGGCAGTCTTTTCTTTGGAGGTGAAGCTGTTAGCATGGAACACCAGGGATCTGTACATGGAGCCTACTCAGCTGGAGTTATGGCTGCAGAAAATTGTCGGAGGCATCTTATGGAGAGACTCGGTAGCTTGGAAAAGATCCAACTTATCTCCCTCAGGGAAGAAATGCTTGAAGTCACTGTTCCCCTCCAAATCTCGAGGATGTGAGATACTTATTTACATATGATATGTTCAAGAATGTTAGTAAGAGTAATTGTCTATCCAACTTAATTTCTATGTTGTTGCTAAATTGAAGAGTTTAATTGATGTTGTGGATGCACTAGTACACTATAGAGGAAGGCTGGCTAATGTTTATTGTTGTGCTTCTCATTATTTCGGTTTGTAATTGTTTGGTAAGGGGTAGGCTGAGTGAATGTTCCCGTCCCGTCCCGTTAGGGGAGATGCGTACATCTCTCCCTTCTACAAAGACTTGGCAACTGCGGATGTAAGTTGAGAGAGAGACCTATTTGTTGAATTTATGTTTTATTGCATAAATCATTAAGGTCTTATGGTGGGATGGTAAACAAGTGGATCCGCCTAATTTATATAATAAATTAGTTGTATTTTGGTGGAGTTTTGTAATCCCGTTTAATAAATTGATATATCTCTTTAGTACCATCAAATTATACCGTTTATCACCTCATTATTAGTTTAATAGACGACTCAATTTATTGTAAAATTAGGACTTATAATATAAATTTTTGTGTTGTAAAATTAATAGATAAAATTAGTTGTATCATGCAACCTATTTTACAAATGAGTCGTGTCTATTTTTGACTTTTAACTAGTGGTGTCAACTCTGATCTTTTGACACAAACGATTATAAAATTGACACGATTTTTAAATACACATAATAAATAATTTAGACTAATATTTAATATTTAGAACATACTAAATAGATTTTTTTTTTTTTTGAGTTTTGACACGATCACGACATGAATAACACGACATACGGGTCATACAAATATGACATGATTGACACCTCTACTTTTCACCCATCTAATAAACGAGTGATATATAAATTGGATAATTGTTGACACGAACTAATTAACACCTGACATGAATCAATAGAATTATTGGGCCTAATCTCTTGGGTGTGGTGAGGAGGAGTAAATATTAGGTGTAATCATTTAATAAAAAAAATTATAAAATATATTTATTTTCTATCTTGGAGGTGATTATGTATTACATAATTGAGTGATTATGAATTTTACTGAAATTTATTGTAGACTTGTTTATATATTAATGAATAGTTACGAACCAATATAGCTTGTGGGTTCGGTTGATTGGACTCGGGTTAGATCTCTAATGTCGGTCATAAAAAAGTCCAAAATACAGTGGTCGACTGCCCGCGGTCAGGCTCTCCTCCTCCCAAGCAGCCTCCAGCCCTCTTTAATTACCTTGGAGTAGACGTCAATGGCCGTAAGCACATGAGCACTGATTTTTGTCTTCAAGGAAAACCATTTATCTTCTCTCTTCTACAGCGTTTTTATTTAGTTTCGTGCTCTCTGCTCAACCAATTCTTAATTTCTCCACTTTTACGTCTGCCAGCTGAAAGCTCCCTTTCGTCTCTCGCGTTTCTCTCTCTCTAAAATTCTGTTTTGATCTTTGCGAAATCATTAATCCATGGCGACGATCGGTAACAACAATCTCAACGCGAAACTGGTGAGTGCTCTCTAATTGCTATATCTCTTACATGTAATTGTGATCCCCCGTTCAAATTGTTCTCAGATTCGAATAATTGATTATCTTCTCAGGTTCTGCTAGGTGACATGGGGGCTGGTAAATCAAGCCTCGTATTGCGCTTCGTCAAGGGCCATTTTCTCGAATTTCAGGTATGTATGTATATATTTGTATATATGATTGTATTCATCTCCTAATTTTTGAATAATGTTGTTTAACCTTCTAGGGTTTGCTAATTTTATAAGGCTTTCATTTGTATGTAATCTGATGATGGTAATAATTATAGGAATCGACGATCGGGGCGGCGTTCTTCTCTCAGACGCTGGCGGTGAATGACGCGACGGTGAAATTCGAGATCTGGGACACTGCCGGCCAGGAAAGGTACCACAGCTTGGCTCCCATGTATTATAGAGGAGCTGCGGCCGCTATCATCGTCTACGACATCACTAGCACCGTATGACCCCAACAGTCTCCTTTCCTAAATTATTATTTTTCTATCAATGTATATCATTGGATTGAAAATCTCAAACAGCTCTAATAGCTTTGATCTTGTTTATTTTTTATTTAGTTGCTTAAAAAGTAGCCAAAAGTTCCCATATTTCAGCAACTTTAGGAGCTGTTTGTTTTTCTCATGTATGATTAAGTTTAAAGTAGGTGCAATAACTGTTTTCCAGATTGTACAGGGCCGACCTTTTTGTTATGTTTTTCTTGTTATTAGTTTTGCTGATTGAATTTGTTCTCTTACTTTGAGTTCATTAGGACTCGTTTGCGCGGGCTAAGAAGTGGGTGCAAGAACTTCAGAAGCAAGGTGATTAGGCTCTAACTTGGTTTTTTATTTGCGTGGAGTGTAAATAAAGTCAACAATGCCACGTGCTTCTTCCCCCATCAGTGAATAGTTCTGACATTTAGTGTTATTTAATTATTGGAAAAAATTTGAGGAACGAGACAGACATGCTTAAGAATGCTATTTTGAGGATTATGCTGTTATGAAGTTTCTTTTTCCATTAGCATTTGATTTCTTTCTGAAATCCAAACAAGGCTCATTTCTTGGATAAGCCTTTCCCTGTCTTGGGTTGCATTTAGTTGACCTTCTTGTGTTTGTTACAGGTAACCCTAACATGGTCATGGCACTTGCTGGGAATAAAGCTGACTTGGAGGAAAAGAGGAAAGTGACTGCTGAAGTAAGTATTATCTTTGCTGTTATGCGTTTGCTTATTGGAGTTGGGTGCCTAGGTCAAGAATTGTTGGTATTGCTTTATTACATAATTCGTTTTCATTATCTTTTTCTTGATGGCCAGTGGATCCTTTCTTTTTAGCATAGGCATGTCCTACTTCTAATTTCTAAATGATATTGAAGCTATGAAACACGGATAATCCTTTAAGGTCAACTTGTACGTATCGAATACGATACTTGTTGAAGCAATGTTTCTTTTTCATTTCAAAAGAGTATACAATTAGCTAATTTCATTATATATTTTGGCAACAAATGCCTTTGAATAAACTAGCTAGTGAAAATGTTGGTCTTGAACTCTTGATTCCTTTAATTTGTCAAGTTTATACTTTTTTAAGAGTAAAAATTGTTAATTTTTTGTATTTTTGTTAAAGAATTTACCAAAAATTCTGTTTTATTGACGTGTTATGGCCATAACATATTTTTTTACGATTTGATATATTGTACCTATCCGTACTTTCTAGTATTGAAAGTCCTACGATGTGCTTTTTCACTCTAGTGTGAGCTGTTAAGCTAGCTTATTTCTTTTTGATCTATTATTCTTTATTGAGATCTTGGTGGATGTGGTGTTTGATGAAATCCTTAATCTGGAGTCTTCATGATTGCACTACTATGGCATGGTTGGACTAGTATAATCGACTTTGGAAGTCTAAATGAAAGACTAAAAATTTTTGGTCCAAAAGAAAATGTGATTTTGGTAGTCTTATTAAGGTTATGTTTATTTTTACTATTTATTTTTTTAATCTAATTAGGCATTATTTGTTTGACTAGGAGTGTTTCAATAATTTTGATAGTGAGAGTCTGATCAGAATATATTTTAGAATTTTATTAATAGAGTAATTTTTGTTTTTTTTTCATTAGAGAGTGACATTATTTAGGTTTGTTCTCAGTGGAGAATTCATATGTTTCTTAATCTAATCGTTCTAGGGGATTGGTATCTCTTATTTTTTCTTCTATTCTCGTCCAGCATCACTTCACTTAATCTGTTAGAACATGTTATAAGTGATGGAACTAAGATTGTCCCATGTTCTACATTCAATTTGTCCAGGAATCTTGAGTGAGAAAGATATAATATGTGAATAATTGCTGGACGAGATACTTCTGTACTAATTACAGTCATGGTAGAGTTGCAGTTCTGGTCATTTTAAGTGCGAAGTGTTGCCTTCTTTCTGGATTGACCGGGGATTTTTTTCCCCCATTTTACAAGTATGAAATAGGTTCTTAACACAGTGGAAACGTTGGTTTTTGGGAAACATAATTTTTCTTGATGGTGATAATTATTTTCATTTCGAAAGAATAGGTCAAGGTTCGGGACCTTTAGTTGATCAATTTAGAATATTTGTAAGCTATATGTGGGTCTTCTTTTCTTGGTTTTCTATAGAAGNAAAGAATAGGTCAAGGTTCGGGACCTTTAGTTGATCAATTTAGAATATTTGTAAGCTATATGTGGGTCTTCTTTTCTTGGTTTTCTATAGAAGTGGCTACCCTCTTGCAATTTAGTGCTACATTAGTCAACATGTCTAGGTTAGGACAATATGCCATTTTATATGGTCACATAGGTGTCCCTCCAAGCTTTTACATATATTTGTATATGTAAAATACAGAGGTTGAAACAAAAAAAAAGCTTTGCTTTTGGGGCACACATAAGTTATTGTGCATTAACTTGATGTTTATTATGGAAAAGGGTGTTGAGGAAAGAAATCATGTGACAGAAACAATCACTGCTAGTGCTGATATGTGAGAAACTTCACAACAAAGCAATATAAAATCTTGTAGGTTGGCTAGTCAACGAATCGGATTTCAGTCGATGCGAATTGGAATATAATTAGAAAGTTCTTATCCAAATTTGATCCAATTATCTTATTGATTTTATTTCCATAGTCTAGCTCCAAATCCGTTTACAATCAATCTGATAATTCAATCCCATCTGAAGAACTAAATTAAGTTTTATTTTAGCAAATTAAATCTGAATTTCAATACCCTTTTTGTCAAATAATCCCTTGATTTTATCATATGTTTATATAAATGTAAATGTAAATTTATGAATCAAATCGAATTATAATCAGATCAGATATTGGTGTTTCCAAATCCGAGTTCTTTAAACATGATATAACAGATTTAGTCTTTCAGATTGTTGGTAAAAAATGCCAATTTATATCCGGTTAATTGGATTTGAATTTGGACCGAATTTGGATAAAAATCCAAGTCATTGATAGGCCTTGTTGCCTGGGGTTCATTATAAACATTACGAACCACACCTTAGATTCTGGTGGGGATATGGGGGAATGAGGAGTGAAGATTTTTAATCCAATAATATACATTGACATGTGTTGGGTGGCTGAATGAGGAGTTAATCATTAATGAAGTATNCGAACCACACCTTAGATTCTGGTGGGGATATGGGGGAATGAGGAGTGAAGATTTTCAATCCAATGATATACATTGACATGTGTTGGGTGGCTGAATGAGGAGTTAATCATTAATGAAGTATGTAGTGACACGAAAGGGGTAAAACAAAAAATTCCTTTTGGCATACTTTAGAGTATGTGTAAAGGAATTTAGCACGTGTGTAATTGAATTTCTATTTAATTTGGTTTTAGGTGTCAATGGTCTCCTATGAATCATGGACACGACACGACACGACACGACACCGACACGTAGACACGTCAATTTTCAAAAAAAGTAGGACACATACACATTGAATAAGAAATTTAATTTAATTTTTTAATATGACTATAATAAAGACCTAACATTTTTTCCAATCAAATTTGGTATTAAATCATACAAATCACAACATAATCATTCATATATCACAACACAACAAAGNATACGACACCGACACGTAGACACGTCAATTTTCAAAAAAAGTAGGACACAGACACATTGAATAAGAAATTTAATTTAATTTTTTAATATGACTATAATAAAGACCTAACATTTTTTCCAATCAAATTAGGTATTAAATCATACAAATCACAACATAATCATTCATATATCACAACACAACAAAGCCATAACTTAAAAACTAATAGTACCCAAATAAGCATAACAAACGCACTGATTACTCTATGTAGTCATCATTCAATATTCTAATAGTAAAATATCCAACACTTGAAACATTTACCCATAAACCATGACCAAAACAATTGTTCATCCCTTAAAACAAAAAGTTCTATTCGAACCATCATGGCTAAACCTAATTTGCCTTATCACCAACACTATCTCCAACACCACCATCGCCGGTAAAGACCATGACCTCTAACTCGGGTTTATCAAGTGAAAGTTGTGCAACCTTAAGCTCTCCCACATCATCCAATGAATCAAAAGCATTTCGACAATATCTTACATCTTGGTTTATCCTTGCATATATATTGCTATGACTGAATGTCAAGTCTTCGGCATGCTTTGGTGTCATCTTGTTTTTTCTCACAGAGTGCACAAAAGAACAAGTACTCCAATTCCTCTCACAACATGATGAAGAAGAAGGTTGTAAAAGTAGCTTCAAAGCTAGACTTTGAAGCAAAGGTCCACTTGCACCATGGTTGACCCGCCAATTTTTAGGATCCATACAATAGCGATCATGAATAGAGTCAATATCTCTAAATTCTCTCGACTTCGTTGAGAAATTGGCAAATTCCTCATTTGTCTTTGTACGGTCCTCTGGAGTAGAAAAATATTTTTTTAACCATTTCACTATTTTTCAAGAAACCTCCACATTTTTGTGGGAAGAAATTTGATTAGAACCCCCATGAAGCCATTGCTAGCTATAATACNTAAGAAATTGGCAAATTCCTCATTTGTCTTTGTACGGTCCTCTGGAGTAGAAAAATATTTTTTCAACCATTTCACTATTTTTCAAGAAACCTCCACAATTTTGTGGGAAGAAATTTGATTAGAACCCCCATGAAGCCATTGCTAGCTATAATACCTTAAATAAGGGAAATAAGAATTAATAATTAGCTCTAAATAAGAGTGGAAAAAGTTTAAGTCTAAAGTTTAGGATTTGGAAATTAGAAGTNACCTTAAATAAGGGAAATAAGAATTAATAATTAGCTCTAAATAAGAGTGGAAAAAGTTTAAGTCTAAAGTTTAGGATTTGGAAATTAGAAGTTACCTTGGATTCAATGAATGAGCTAGGCAATAGAGAGGAGTGTTGTTTTTGTTCTAACGACTACAAGAATTTTATGCACCACTTCATAAAATGTAGAGGACTCCTCAAGCCGCTTTCTTTCATGTCTATATATTGCAACCCTCACTTTTTCAATCATTGTATCCCACATGTCATACACCAAGTGAAGACAAGACTTGTCTGTATCACAACCCCTAAGCATATCATACATAGGAGCCGTAAACGAAAGTATGTAATCAATGGAATCCCACGAAAATATCATCTAAAACCTTCTCTTTAACAAATTTAGCTTTCCCCGCATCATCCTCTCGATTGTAACTTCATCACTAATAATCATGGTAGAAGACAAGGCAACCTTTTAAGAGCTTAAATCTCTTAAGCATTACAAGCACCGAGGCAAAGGGAGTACTTGATACGGAAAACAACTTCAAAGGGATGAATTCATTAAACATTGCCAATCTCATGGAGTGATTCATGATGAAATTCTTAATAAATCCAACAACACTCATCATAAATTACTTGATTATTTTCAACATTCTTCACTGCACAAATATTTTGCAAAGCAAAATAGTGTGTGAACCGCACATGGTGTCCAAACAATATTTGGATGTAATCCTTCAATGAGATGCCCCGCACTTGAACAATTCTTAGAATTGTCGGTTATCACTTGAATCACATTCTGTGGACCAACCCCTTGAATCACTTCTTTCATCAAATTAAAAATAAAGAACTTGTCTTTAATTTCTCCCGAACAATCCACGGCTTTAAGGAACATAGGCCTGTCTTCTGTTACCACCATAACATTAATTTAGGGCCTCCTTTGTGAGTCACTCCATCCATCACTCAGAATGCTTGCACTTTTTTCACTCCATGTGCTTTTGATGGGTTGCAACAATCTCTCAACATTAGCCTTTTCTTGTTACAGTAAATTTGTCCTCAATGGATTATAATCCGGTGGCAAATAATCCGGGAGAGGATTATTAGTGGCAAATGAAAAGGCCCTCACATAATAAGGGTTCCTTGCAAGGTGAAATGGTAAGCCTCCAGAGTAGAACATTCTAGCAATAAGCGCATGCAAGTGATCACTAGTCTTTTTAAGTTAAATTCCTTCTCAAGAACTGAAGTACTTCCACTTCCACTCCTACCACGCGCCTTTCTTTTTCTCGACTCATACCCTCCTCCATAATCAAAAGTTTCAAAAGCATCCATATAATCACCCAATGACATACTAGAAGGGGGCAATGGTACCTTTTTTGGTGTATTTTTCTTTAATCTCTCTTTTGCTTCTTCCTCTAATTTGTGCATCTCCGCAATATCTTGGTTTGTAACTTTTTGGCAAGCTCCGAGACCAAAACCAGTCAATTTCAACTAATGTGCTCTTACCCTAGTGTTTGAGCTTTTTTTACTTTGATTGCAAAAATTGCACTGTCAAGAAATATTTCCCTCTCCATCACTTAGTTTTTCGTATCTTGTAACATACTTCCAGAGAAATTTGCTCAGGTCCTCTTCAGGGCATGGAGAAGGCACACTACTGGTACCCACGGAAGCCATATCATCTAATTCTAAAATGGGCAAAAAGACTCCAAAAAAAAAATATGTTTTATTTTTCAGTTTGACAGCACATACATAAACAGCAACAGGTTGTACAGATACGGAGAAAGGGGAGAAAATTAAAGTTTCATAAAAACGATCAGTCACAGAAAAAGTTCAAGTGCTGAAAAATAAGGGTTCCTTGTGGAGAAGGAAACCAACTGAAACCCAAGGGCAGCAATCCGTAACCAAAAAAAAAAAAAAAAAAAACNGTTCCTTGTGGAGAAGGAAACCAACTGAAACCCAAGGGCAGCAATCCGTAACCAAAAAAAAAAAAAAAAAACTCATGCAAACACAAGACAATCACAGCAGATATGGTTCTATTGCAGCAAGAACACAAGATAAAGATGGAGAAAAATTAGTGGGTAGCTTCAGGTTGAGGGTTACCTGTGTAATAGGAGGAAGAGTTGTTGAAAAACAATTTTTTTTCAAAGAAAGCCAAACAATCAGCTTGTCACAGGAGTAAAGGAAGATGGTCGGAGCAAAGGAAGATGGTCGAGTCTGTCACAGGCAACGATCAACCTGTTTCTCTAGTGTTTCATCGTCCCTCACGTCTTTTGTCGTCTCTCACTGCTTCACGTCTTTTGTTTGTTGAGTTTCTCAGTAGACGAAGGATTTTATTAGAGTAGGGTTTTCTTTTTTGCTCCAACTGTATTGTTTTTTATTTCAAGATCCAGTCACTTTAAAACATAATTTCATACTAACCCCTATCTTATTACATAATGGCCCGTTATTTCATATAACCTTAAGCAAACTCCGTAACTTAATTTATCAAATTACAAAAAAACCCAACGTGTCCAAAAACTTAATCTNGGTATAAGAAACTATGTGAAATGTTATTGTATTTTCTTTTGTAAAGAAAAGAGATGCTAGAAAAATCTGAAGAAAAATGATATATATGAGGGTGAGAAGTTTTGGGAAAATGAGTTGAAATATTAATGCAAAATGTAGTAATCATCAGAGAATAACATGATATAGATTATAGAAGACAATGTAGAAAAATGTCGCAAATTGATTCTAGGCTAATGGGCGTGTTTGACTTGATTTGTGTGTGATGTGTGGTACTGGTCCATGTTTCCTGTGTTTGTTGTGAGAAGATAATAGTTTAGGATTCCATGTGTTTTTTGTGGGAGCTTTTCAGTTGACCTACTTGATGTATATTGTTTGTGGTGTTATAATGGGTGTATCATTCAGTGGTCATGAGAAGATAGAAAGCTTATGGATACAAGGGACAACATATTAAATTTCTACTAATTGGACCTTTGAGCTGACAGTCCAGTTCTTAGATTTTCAATAATGGTTATTGTGGCCTTAACTGCATTTTTCATATTCATTGTGGTTTAAACCTGTTGAAAAGGTCTCCGGGTGCATCTTTATTTTTTAAAATTTATCATTTATTTGGTCAGTGTCTACAAATCATGTTTTTATGAGCTGAAAACAATTCTTCTATCAGTATACAATATATGTTACAGAAACCTGTTGGATTTTATTTGGTGTTTCAATAGTTAATAATATAGATAATTTTTATGTTTAAAATAGTTTTGTTTTGGTTGCTACAGTGGAATGTACAAGATGTTGCTATTGCAATTTTTTGACTTTACCTTAAGCTACAGTTTACTCTCTTTAGAAAATAAATTTTAAGATGCCTTGTGAGAAGTAGCATCGGTAAGGAATACTTTTTAAATCATATTAGCATGAGATTCACATATTTAACTCTCTCTGTTGTCTTTTGTGTCAGCTGTGTAATGCTAATGAACAAGTTTATTACTGCTACTTTTACCATTTGTTTTCAAATGAAATCCTATTATATTATTTGTTTTGAGCTTGCACTTCATTGAAACTCAAATTTTTTATTTCTTTGAAGGAGGTAATGATTATTTTAATTTTTCTGAAATCTCTGCTATGAATTAATAATGGATTATGATGAAGAAATTCAAGACAAAAGCACAATGCTTTTGTCTTTGTAGATAATTCTTGAGCCTATCTTATGAGAGTTTGAACCCTTGTTTTGTGGCTTATTTAGATGGCTTTTTTGTGACTGGTTGATGATTACTAATCAGTTCACTCAGATGCCTAGTATCTATGTATTTGTGGTCGCCGGTCAGTGAATCAAATTGCTTTTCTTGTACTCAAGTATCTACTGGCTAATTACATTCTGAAGGTTTTTATATTGTATCACATTAGGATTTTGAAGCATTGGGTTTGGGCTGGCATTTCATCAATTTTTTTTGCTGACATTTCATAGTTATTGCGATATTTGTTCATGTCCATTTGTTTGCTAATTGCAGATCTTGTAATATTATTGTGTATATGTTCTGCAACACTTAATAATTGGAAAAAAGGCAGTTAGGTCTTTTTTGAATTCATCGATGCTATGCTTTCATTATGCTTTTAAATGGGGCATTGTATCCTTGCGAAACCTATTGAGCTATGTATTCACTTGATATTTGCTTCCCTGGTTTTCTTTGGTGTTTCAGTCAAGATGACCACCTTCATTTCGGAAAGTATTAATCATAAACTTGTTATATTCTTTTGATCTTCTGCTAGAATATTTTGGGACCCTCCTTATTTATACACCGACTTTTTTGTCACGTGCAAGCCTCGAGTAATGCTTTTTTTTTATATGTTTTGGAGCAGAAACTGGAGGCCCCGCCTGGTGAGAAGCCCGAACTTGTCAAAACTCACCTGCGCAATATGATAATAGTACCTGAGATGATTGGAAGTGTCATTGGGGTGTACAACGGAAAAACCTTCAATTCCATTGAGATCAAGCCTGAAATGATTGGTCATTATCTTGCTGAGTTCTCTATCTCATACAAGCCAGTGAAGCATGGACGACCTGGTATTGGTGCCACCCACTCGTCCAGGTTCATTCCTCTCAAGTGAAGCTTCTGCCAGCAATCTATATACAATAGTAGTTTGTTTTTGGTTCCACCTGTNTGGTGCCACCCACTCGTCCAGGTTCATTCCTCTCAAGTGAAGCTTCTGCCAGCAATCTATATACAATAGTAGTTTGTTTTTGGTTCCACCTGTGAGCCACGCGAACTGCGTAAGATGCATGGGACAGAGCATCATCATCTATGTTTTTTGAACTTCTAAGAGTCATTTTTGCNGTGAGCCACGCGAACTGCGTAAGATGCATGGGACAGAGCATCATCATCTATGTTTTTCGAACTTCTAAGAGTCATTTTTTGGNTTCATTCCTCTCAAGTGAAGCTTCTGCCAGCAATCTATATACAATAGTAGTTTGTTTTTGGTTCCACCTGTGAGCCACGCGAACTGCGTAAGATGCATGGGACAGAGCATCATCATCTATGTTTTTTGAACTTCTAAGAGTCATTTTTGCTTGGTACATTTTTATGCAGTTCGATTTTAAGTGGTCTTTAGATTAAAGAGGTGATACCTGATGACTGAACTTGAATGGTTTGATAAATTTTGTGACTGCAGTAAACATTTTTGCTTTCAAAAATTCTGAGTTGTGAGTCAGGGCCAACGTGGTTCCATAATCTCCTTACACCCATACTTGCTTCTTAATGTGATTTGATGCCTTCATGTGATCTTCTCCCCATCTTGTTTGCTCTCATGTGCTTTATTGACTTCCATGATCATCAGTTTAGACTTTCAGCAACCTTGTTTGTGCACGTGTTTGCCATAGCACTCTTATCCATTTCATGAAGAAGAGTTTGCATAGAGGATGAGAGAGGCCTGCCATGATAACATTGCATTTGGCCTCAGAGTTTACCAAAGAAGCTTGCAGCACCTTGTGGCTGAATGGCTACCCAGAATTGGAAGGGGAACTTAAGGAGCCAAGTAGTCTCATAATAAATTTGTCTAAAGACGATGAAAGATAGAATCAGGCGCCCTTGGGCTAATGCAATTATCTTTAAAACCTATAGGCGAACATATAACTATGAGTAAAGACGTTTTATGTTNCCATGAACTGCATGACATTGACAACCTATCTCCCAATCTCTATTCATCAACTTTCTCTATCCCACCCCCAAAACACTGCAACATATCCCATCCAAACACAAATGAATTGACCTAGATCAAATCCCAAACAACTTCAGCACAATCCAAGCCATGGTAAAAAATTTTTTATTGACTTAAGCACAAAAGTCTTCTACATTTACCCCCAAAAAAAACAAAAGTATGCTACACAAGTCAATATATGTCCAAAATTCATTTTTCAATTCGCTTACGCCCCGGTACACTTAAAAGGGCACAATTTTTCGTGTTCAGATTTACAATTCTAATGAAGATATATCGTCATGACATGTTCAAATTGTCCAGTGGAAAGAGTTGGTCTCAAACAAAGCATCAACTCAGTGTCTTAGATTTAACTCTCGTTAGTGTTTCCCGGATTGTAGAGATGTATGTTCACTTCACAGGAGTCCAATGTACCCTTTGTGATTTGGGAAAAAAGTCATCATGCCAAGATTTCAAAAATTATCATTTCTTGACTTCTTCTGCCATGGACCACAAACTGTAATGGTTGAGAATTTTATTTCTTCACTTAGAAAAAAAGGCAGCTAATACAAAAATCTACACAGTGTGCTTAGCTCCCAATAGCCATAGAACTTGGGGAAAAAACAAGTTTTTGCATCCAATACACTGGAACAATTGACAAAGCCTCCATTGCCAAATGCTAGTCTTTCATGGTATATTCCTATACCTAGGTGTACCCATTAATTAGATCTAAAAGGTCATCAAAATCAAAAGAATGAAATAGAGCACAAAGAAAACTACATAGACAATCAGTTAAATTCATAAACCCAATAACCCATTACATTAAAATATGCCACATAAACCATAATACTATGTAAACATATAAAACTTTAGGTTTCATTTTTTTCCATAAAAAATTAATTGAATTATGCGACTATCGCTTTGCCTAACTTAAGTAAGCTTACATAAATCAAGCTCTAACAAATCAAATTATAACAAAATCACCAAAGGGTATAGCTATCGATGAGTTATAGTGGAAATGTGGTATTGAATAGTAGAGTAAAATTATGGAAGTGTAAAGCGTATCTTTAGGCAACTAAATCCACCCACGTGGGCCACACATATAGGGTGGACTTTACACACTGATAATAAGTGAACACATACACAATGAATCAATGGCAGAAAAGGAGTACATATTGACGATAACACTCTCTGAATTGGTTTTCTATAATTTGTTGATTCTTATCTTCTATAGCTCTCCCTCCATGTGCCAACTAATTTGATGGGAAAGAATGGGTTCAAACTTTGGTTATCTGACTCTCCCTTTATCTGTTGAACAAAGTCAAACAGAACAATGCGCTTAGAACAATCATTAACTAGTTGTTTCTATACAAATAAATCCACCAATCATAAACCAAAAAAGGAACCTAGAAATACTCACCTTTTTTTCGGTGAAACCTGGCCACCACTATTCGATAGTTTAATTACTATCATATATTCAAAGGCAAACCAAGTAATCAACATCATTATTTGAACTGATTCTAATTTTTTTTTTTTTAAAATGACATTGACATCAGATACTTGGTATGCCTGAGATTGTTCATCCAAGTGAATATTAGGCCAGGGATTTTGCCTTTGGTTTTTGAATTCTTGGTAGCACTGCTACCATTTGCTTTTAAACAATTTGGGTGTAGTTACTTGATGCATGTGTAAAATTCTTGAATCAAGGTAGCGACACAACCACAAAAAGGCAAATTATCTTGACTAGAAACAAAGATTTGAACAATATCCTCAAGGAAACAACATCGCCGCCATCGGGATGAGAACCAATAGTTTCATTATATAATGGATCTTTCCGTTCACGAGGTATTGTAAATCAACAATTTTTCGCATTGGCAAAGATAACGAAGGAAAGACATATCAAAAGGGAAAATTTCATGGAACTCGCTACCATGACAGAGGCAAATTCTATGCATAAGGCCTAGAAATTTTCATTCCTCGTTCATCAAGTGCGAAAAAAATCTGCATATGAAGCAAATCAATCCAAAATCAAAACTTCCACTCAAAACAAAAAAATGCATCAACAAAACAAACCAAAAATCTGCTATTTATTTTGAATATGAAATACAATTACAATCAAGTATTACTTAAAAATCACCAACAAAAAACTGAGTGATTCGTTTCGAAAACGCTATTAATTTAGAGAGAGGGCTCAAGGCGGTGGGTTCAAGTAGAGGGTGAAGGCGGTGTGGTGGTGGCTATGGGTTGGTGGTATAGAAGAGATATTGAAAGAGGGAGGAGGGGAAGGGGGGGAGAGAGAGAGAGAGACCTAGTGTCTGTGGATGGTGAACTCGTTGGGGGCACAAGGGCTATCCATGACACTATGTTCTTTTGGGGCATTTCTTTGAACAATTGGAAGCCATTGAGAATATCACCACAGTTCACATAAAAATAGGCCCCCCGTAAAAAAAATTGTCAATAAGAAAAAAACTTCCAAAAACACAATATTTCAAATGAGTAAAAATTCAGTACATCAACAAGACCTCTATGATGGCTGACTTTGGTTCTTGCAGAAGAAAATGATGGTTGAGCAAGAAAAAAAACGGGGCATACATATAACAACCCAACAGTTGGACGTTCTCATGGTTCTCTAGTATAGTTTTGCTATTTGGGTTTGTCATTTTCTCTAGTATTGAAAATCTGAGAGTACAGAGAATGTAATTTTATCGAATTTCTGAAACCCACAATGGTTAACATTCAACAAACTCCATTTGAAATGGTCACTGACCCCAACAGATTGCTAAATTCTTCATCATACAATAGAACCATTTGAATGTGCCTCGGAATGATCCTTTTGTCCATGTTGTCCCTTGCAGCATTCATAGCAAGTTCTAATCAATTTCTAGGCACTATTAGGAAAAATTAATTACATAGGGGCACTACATAATAAACCTAGGTTCAATTCAATTTGCTAGTTCTACTGACTGATAGGGAACCACATTATGGACAATATCCGTCATGAAACGGCATAAAAATCATGCAGGCGTGTGTTTGCCGAGGGCAGACGACATATCTGTGAGAGAGGGAGGGCGGTGGGGCTGATGGTCGCTCGGCAATTGTGAGAGAGAGAGAGACCGGAGTTTTGGGGAGACACGGTGAGATTTAGGGCAGTAATTAGGTGTGGAAAATTAATGTCGGTTTTCTCTTGGAAATAAATCTTAGAGGTGTGGACGGTTTCAAAAAGAAGGTTTAGCCGTGTATGTGGAGGGTTTGAATTCACTCTCTTCTAATTAGGGAAAGAGTGATTTCCTAAAACCTATATCGCAACGGACAAAGAGAGTGTGCGATTGAGGGAGTTAAAAATGAAAATTTATAGATGGGAAAATATTCAAGTGTTAATTTGGTGTGTTGGATTAAAAATTTTGAATTGATTTGAAACGGTAATAGCTTGAGATAAATTAGGATAATATCGGATATTGGATGAAACTTTTATTTTATTCCGAAATGATTTGAGACGCTTATGTTTAGGATTCAAAAACAATTATACTTTATTATATAAGATTTATTGGATCAACATAGATGGACACACTATCCCAATGACAACGCCTCTCTATGTTATATGCTTTGTTCTGATTAAATTAGTAGTACATTAACCTCCTTTTTTGTACAACTATAGTTGCTAAAACTTCTCAAATACATTGCGAGCAAGATGATGAATTTGCTTGCTAAATGATATAATTGGCCCTAATTTGGGATGTTCATTACTGTGAGTGTGTGAATTTTGGACCACCTTTCAAGAGTCAAATCCTGAATGTTAGCTGGATCGTGGGTCGCATTAGTATGTGATATAGGTA